AGGGTCTGGTGAAGCATATGACACAAGAAAAACATAAAAAAAATACATAGAAATATAAATCAAACATATTATATTTATGTAAAACTACCAAATATTAAAATTATTACCTTGTATAGAATTGTATATTTGTGCTTTATTATTCATAGTAGATAGTATCTATATCCATGTATATTACTTCACATAATTTAAAATAAAGATGGTCATGGTACTATTTTTAGATAGATGGTTATATATAATAATAAAAATATATCTGTGATTTCTTTGGTTAGAGTATTGCTAATAGTACTATACTTTGTGGTCTACCTTTCTAATTAAGAACACACTAAATTTCATTTAAACACAAATAACTATGTATTTTCTCTATTTTATGTCATAATAAACTAGCAGATTGTCAATTTTTCTTTTATTATTTCTGATAATTGTATTTTTAATTTCCAAAATAGTCATGTAAATATTTTCCAAATGATATGCTTCGCTCGCATTGTCTTGCCTTATGAAATCCGTATCCATAAATATTTACTTTAACCTTCAAAAATCCTAATGTTAAATAATTTTCACATCGCTTTTGAAAAATCTTACTGTGGTAAAAATACTTAACATGGGCAAAACCCTCTTAAAAATTTTTTTTTATCATCTGTTAAGTTCTGGGCTACATGTGGAGATCATGTAGGATTGTTACATAGGTATATACATGCCATGGTTGTTTGCCGCATCCATCCCTGATCATTTACATTAGGTATTTCTCCTAATGCTATCCTTCCCCAGTGTCCCATCCTCTGCTACCCCTCCCCTATCTCTCTCACCTCCCAACAGGCTCCGGTGTGTGATGTTCCCCTCCCTGTGTTCATGTGTTCTTATTGTTCAATAACCACTTATGGGTGAGAACGTGTGGCATTTGGATTTCTGTTCTTGTGTCAGTGTGCTGAGAATGAAAAATTTTAAGTACATAATAAATTATTTTAAAATACATTGTACATCACATAGTGCAACAGATCTGTAGAACAAATTCATCTTGCATAACTGAAAATGTGGACCCATTGAACAGCAGCTCCCAATTTCCTCCTCCCCCTAGGCCCTGGCAAACACCTTTCTACTCTCTGTTTCTATGAGTTTGCCTATTTTAGATACTTCATACAAGCAGAATCATAATAATGTAGGACATTTTCTTGACCCCTTCACAGGTCTCATGACAGGGGTGTCTTGTTTACTCAGCCTGCCCTGCTCAACTCCTTGCTGAAGGGGGCATGAGAGTGAACAAGTGCAGGAACTGGAGCGAGCGAGTGCAGAACCAGCTGCTTTGGTGCTGTCAGGAGCAAACTCAATGTGGGCCCCACAGTAGTATCCAGGTGGTGTGCCCAGGCCCCAGAGGGTCTCTTGGCTCTGTTGTTTGCAGACAGCAGTGTGTGACCAGCTCAATGGGCCCTTTGCCTGGTCACATGAGGAAACTGCCTTCCACCAGTGAGGGCAAAGGACCAGTGTGACAAACCCTTTAGGTGCCCACACCTGGTGCATCCTGAATTTTTGCCTGGTGCCCAAGACAAATGAGGTCATGTGGATGAATTGAAGGATGGTGAATGTGGAGAATTTTACTGAGTGATGAAAGCAGCTCTCAGTGGAGAGGGAGGAGCTGGAAAGGGGATGGGAAGGGAAGGTGGCTTGCCCCTTAAGTCAATCCACCTCTCTACCTCTCTTTTCCGAAGTCAAGTTGCTTTATTCAGCCACTTTCTCTGAAGTCAAAGTCACCTCTCTCTGATGTCCAGCCACTTCTTCCTGAGTTTCAGTCGCTTTTTCCCCTCTGCCAGCTGAGTCTGGGATCTTAAAGCTACAGGATGGAGCGGGGTGAGCCATAGGTAGTTTTGGAAAAGATAACATTCAATTGGTAAAAAGACATTATTCAGAAAGAACCAACTGGGAGAGAGCAGACAAATACGGATGGAAGTTTTCAGTTTGGGCCACAGGTTTTATTTAGGCTTGAAGGTGGGGTTTTTCTGAGGATCTGCCCGTCTGCTGAGAATTTCTCTGCCTCCTGTTGCTATCAGGAACATATTTGTACTTCTGTTGCTAACTTATTTAATTTAGCCTAAGGCCCTCCAGGTTTATTTCTGTTGTCACATATAGCAGAATTCTCTTATTTTTAAGGCTGAATAGTATTCCATTGTATGTATATACAAGATTTTCTGTATCCATTTATCTTTCAATGGCTACCCATGGTGGATGTAACACTTTATATTTTCATCAACAATGTACAAGGGTCTTATAACTCCAGAGTCTTGCAACACTAATTATTATTATTATTTTTTTTATAATAGCAACACTAATAAGTATGAGGTGATATCTGTGTGTTTTTCATCTTGTAATTCCCAGATGATTAGTGATTTTATCTTTTCATGTACATATTGACCATCTGTATGTCCATTATGGAGAAATCTATTTTAAAGTCCTAGGCCTGTTTTAATTGGGCATTTGGCTGGTGCTATTGAATGTAGAAGTTCCTTATGTATTTTATATATTAACTTTTATCAAACATATGATTTGCAAATATTTTCTTCCATTTCACAGGTTGCCTTTTCACTCTGTTGATTGTTTCTCTTGCTGTGCAACTTTTTAGTGTGATATAATCTCACTGATTTATTTTCACTGTTATTCTTTTCTTTTTGTTGGCGTATTTAAGAAATAATTGAGAAAAACAGTGTCTGAAAGATTTCCCCCATGTTTTCTTGTAGGCATTTTAGAGTTAATGGCCCTAAATTTAAACTTTTAATCTATTTTGAGTTGATATTTGTGTATCATGTCATAAGAGGATCTGATTTCATTCTTTTGCATGTGGATATCCAGTTATCCTGACACCATTTGTTGAGGATACTATTGTTTTTTCTGATTATGATTCTTGGTGCATTTGTCAAAGGTTCATTGTCTGTATGTATGTGGGTTATGTCTAGGCTTTCTATTCTGCCCAATGGTCTATCTGTGCATTTATATGGCAGTGCAATACTATTTTACTTATTGCAACTTTGTAATATATTTTGAAATCAGGAAGAGTGTTGCCTCCAGCACGTTTCTCTTTTTTTCTTGTTTCCTTTGGCTATATTGATCTTTCATATATTTACAAAAAATTTAGTTTTCTATTCTATTTTGTAAAAATAGGAATCTAAATGTAGGTACTTAATTAACATTTTATTAAATCCTTATATATAGTTGAGTAGAATGAACGTTTTAACAATATTAAATTTTCTAATCCACGAACATGGGATGTGAAGCACAAAGTTAACAAAAAGATGGAAATGATAAATGTTAGAACAGAAATAAATGAGATAAGTAACATAAAAAATAGAATAAATCAATAAAACTCAGGTTTAAAAAAATATAAATGTAAATGACAAATAATAGGTGGACCAAGAAAAAAAGGAGCAGACTCAAATATAATCAGAAACAAGTGAGGAAACATCGCATCTAACCAACTGATGCCATAGAAATTAAGAAGAATCCAAATTGACTACTATGAACCATTGTATGCCAATGAATTGGAGGACTTATAAGAAATGAATAAATTTTTAGAAATATACAACCTATGATGACTGAATCATGAATAAATAGAAACTCTAAATAGACCAAAAACTATTATAAGACTGAATCAGCAATCAAAAACCCCCAACAAAGGAAATACAGAACAAGATGGTTTCATTTGTGAATTTTACAAAACATATAAAAAGCACAAACACAAATCTTTCTAAAAACGTGCCAAAAATTAAAGAAATGAGAACACTTTGAGACTCATTTTATGGAAGTGGCATCATGTTGATAACAAAGACAATGAAGACACTCCAAGAAAAGGAAACCACAGGCAAATATCCTCAAGAACAGATTCCTGTTGCTTTTCTACTTGTAGTTCCTTAGTTGTGTTGTGTCTGAGACTGATAATCAGCTCTTCTGCCCTTGATTTCCCCATGTGGTCTAGGAGATCCTCTGCAATGAAATGAGCTTTTTTTCTGAAGACACATTAAAGGGGCGTTGCATGATTCCCGCTTCCTCACATGCAAAATACAACTGTAACCTTGGACACACCATGATAATGGTGAAACACAAGAGAACAGGAACATGTTAGCTGCATTACTACATGCAGCAGAGATGCCCAATGTGTAGGAATACATTTTGACGTTGCATTAGAGAAAAATAAGCTTTATTTTTTAAAAGCATGCTATATAGAGTACCAGAATTAATGAATACATCATCCTTCCCCAAAAGTGGCATTTTTCATAAACTGGTTTACTTTTAGAAACATAACTCAGTTTTTTTTCAGATTCAATAGTCAACATAAACATCTGAATATAGCCATATTTTAAAAAGGCCAACACAAATTGTTTTCTATTAAAAAAGAAACAATGATGTGACTACCAAATGAAGTTTATTTTGCCACAAAGAATAAATAAATGATGTAGCATTATTTAGGCAGCTTTGTATTTGGACATGTAATAATATAAATATACCTTCATAAAAAAGAAAACAAATTTAATGTGAGGTAATAATAGCTATCTCTGGACTATTGTTTTATAGCTGATTTTTTTCTGTTCACATTCCTGTATTTTACACCTATGTAAAGTCAAGGTATATTCAGTATTAAGATTAATTAAGTGAAGTTGATATGTCAAGGGCATTAGAAAGACTCTAATACAAACAAGATACCACTTGGGATAGTGTTATATTTAATTGTTCCAACTGTAGCCTCCAAGGCAATGCTTCAGTGATATTCTACAGTGTCAAAAGTCCCCAGGGTCCTTGGGGCATATATTTGTGACACAGTTTGGTGCTAGGACTTAGTTTCTAGATATGACCTTATTTCTGCTATCGCTGAGTTTTCTTAAGAGGTTGGGGAAAAAAGTAACATTTAATTCTTCAGTGAACTATTCTGTTGACACTTCTGTTTTTTTCATATTTGTTTCTATTAAGTACTACGGAGGAGCATTATTGAAGTTCATTAATTTCAGCCAAAGATCCTTCAGTAGATGAATCATTCAAATGCCTCTGTATTTAGGTGAGTTGATTTAGTGTTTTAAAATTTTATCGTAGAAGGAAAACACTGAGTTCTGGTAATCTTAGTATGAGACAAACACAAGTGTAGGCTGAGGTGCCTCCAGATACACTTAGTTCAAGGCATGGAGGGCCTATGTTATTATATCCAGATTCCTTCTCTCTTTCAAATAGTATCAATTCTGGTTTTTGTTTCTCTCATTAGGTTCCCACCATGTGCCCCTCAATAAAATCAATACTTTGGCAAATAAAAAAGAATAAAACAAAATTGGCATTATCTTTAAATTTCCTATGCTTTCTGAGGAGATAAGTGAGACTAATAGCCAAATATGATAAATGGTAGGATATGATTTATGGTAATTGTGAGTTATAAACACTAATGTTTGCAGTGTATGCAGAGAAGAAACAATGTGTAATCTTTATAACAGTAGATGGTAAAATAAAGCATTATGCTAGTGAGAATAGATAGAAAGCAGACTTTAGGTAAATGGGCATGTGTTCCATAACAGCTTGATACATCTACCATGACTTTGAGAAGAATGTGTTAGTAGTAATGAGATTGAATATCTAGTTCTAAGCAGTTTTTGAAATTTCAGGATCCACAATGTAGTTTTCATGCATTCAGCAAAAAACAGCATTTGAAATTATTAAAGTTGACACTCAGGTGAAAGTAATTACAGAAAATTATGCTTGCAATGCTGCAAAAATATTTCAAATTAAGCACAACTGAAAAAATACAGCCAGAATCCAGTTTCATAGTGTTAAGATTTTATGAATAATTGTTTCAGGGAAATTGCTGAGTCATTGGTCCCTTTGGAAGGTAGCTTTCGAACATGAGTTCGCATGAGAACTAGAGAAAGCTATTGTGTAATGGAAAAACATAAAGGAGAATGGGGAAAATATAGTTCTGTGATTTAGACGAAAGCCACAAATGAAATTCTAGTACTTCCATTATGTGGGTTCAGGAAAATGATTCTCTGTATTCAAAACATGAATTTTGAATTTTTGTATTAAAAAATGTGTCCACATGTTCATAGGTGTCCTACATAGGCCTCATTTCAATAATTCTTTAAGTTTTTTTGAAACCTCACTGATTAGCTATAATTCTAATAAATTCTAATAAATATAAAACTTTATATCTAATATGCTTCATATGATGTCTAATAATCATTATATCCATTAGCAATCTTTCTGCTTCCATACTACTGATTTAAATTTCCAATCATGAATATATTATTACATTTTACCATTGAGGAAATGCCTAGTGGCATCAAGGCATATTCAGAGAATATTATGGTGTCCCATTTGAGATGGGTCTCCCTGACACTTATTCTTGGCAAAGCTTTAAACTTAAATCTAAATCAGAATGTATTTTTCCTAAAAACTAAAATTTATTTGCCGTATTCAGTACTTTCACATTTATTATTGTCTGTCCCCTACCTAGCTTTTGGGATTTGCCACATTGGAAAATGAAGAACTTCTCATTTAATATTGCTTCACTTACTTTATCACTACAGAAACATACATCACATATTTTGTTGCAATAACCTCCTCGTAAGTGATATAATGAACCATGAAGAATAACATTAAACATTTTTCAAGTTTACTTCAACATGCATGAGAAAGATTAGCATATTGGTGCAACGCAGCTTCAGAATGTGTTGAGAGTATCGGATTACAAGAAATCAGAAGGGCATTAAAAATAAAACCACCAATAAAATATTAAATTTACCATTTTCCAGGAATATTAACATTTTACTGTTTGTTAAGAGTTGCAAGTTAACTGTCTCATAGCTTTACAAATCAGGCAGGAATGAAACTGTAGAAACGCATATAAATATTCTCGCTTATCTCAGATTCATGCAAAGTAAGAGTGGCTCTTCTCATGAAGCCTGATATCTATGATGATAGTGGATCTTATTGTCTGAAATGTAGGAAGGTATAACTTGTTTTGTTGTTATTTCTGTCTTAATTTTGTTTTTTATTATTCCATTCACAGAATAATCCTAGTCAACTTGTATTTTTTATATAAGTACTCTACCTTTTGAAATAATGTAACAGCAGAAACCTAGAATTTTCAGCAACACTCTTAATAAAGACCCACTTAGTCTCTCAATATTTCTTCCTTTCTGATTCCTGTTGCACTTATTGGTTCCTATTTCTCTGGTTCAACTTTACTTTTTTTTTTTTTTTATAGGATACAAAAAAATCAGACTGCTGGAGTCACCTTCATCCTCTTGGGCTTCTCAGAATATCCAGACCTTCAGGTGCCCCTGTTCCTGGTCTTCCTGACCATCTACACAGTCACTGTGCTGGGGAACCTGGGCATGATCTTGGTCATCAGGATCAACCCCAAACTCCACACCCTCATGTACTTTTTCCTCAGCCACTTGTCCTTTGTTGATTTCTGTTATTCCACCACCATTACACCCAAACTGCTGGAGAACTTGGTTGTGGAAGACAGAAGCATCTCCTTCACAGGATGCATCATGCAATTCTTCTTTGCCTGCATATTTGTGGTGACAGAAACATTTATGCTGGCAGTGATGGCCTATGACAGATTTGTGGCGGTGTGTAACCCTCTACTTTACACAGTTGCAATGTCCCAGAGGCTTTGCTCCTTGTTGGTGGCTGCATCATACTCCTGGGGGATAGTCTGTTCTCTGACACTTACCTACTTTCTCCTGGAATTATCCTTCAGAGGAAATAATATCATTAATAACTTTTTCTGTGAGCATGCTGCCATTGTTGCTGTTTCTTATTCTGACTGCTACGCGAGCCAGAAAATAGTTTTAGTTTCTGCCACATTCAATGAAATAAGCAGCCTGATGATCATTCTCACCTCCTATGCTTTCATTTTTATCACTGTCATGAAGATGCCTTCCACTGGGGGGCGCCAGAAGGCGTTCTCCACGTGTGCCTCCCACCTGACCGCCATTACCATTTTCCATGGGACCATCTTTTTTTCTCTATTGTGTTCCTAACTCCAAAAGTTCATGGCTCATGGTCAAGGTGGCCTCTGTCTTCTACACAGTGGTCATCCCCATGCTGAATCCCTTAATCTATAGCCTCAGGAACAAAGATGTCAAAGAGACAGTTAGGAAGTTAGTCATTACCAAATTATTATGTTATAGAATGTAAAATAACTTTAAAGTCTTAAATATTGTAAGGATGAAATCTCAGACCATTTAAACTAAATTGTTGATTCAGAATATTGTTATACAAAAGTTTCTGTGTTAGTATACGTTTACATATGTATGCTCAGCTCAACTTTCAGTTCAATTTAAATCTTGAAATATGTTAGATTTTGATATGATCTGAAGAATAACAGTTTACAATGGGGAAGTTTACCTAATAACATAAAACTACTATGATAAGAGCTGTTCAGTATAAAACACTAACTATCCAATAAATAATTACAATTAATTCTACATGGGCAATTTTGACATTGGAAGATATGCACGCAAACAAAAATAAATAAGAATCATATCTGTCTTATGAAGTTCAGAAGCTGGTATAGTTAAATTATCATCATGCAATTCTTCTTGGCTTGTATATGTGCAGTGGCAGAAACATTCATGCTGGCAGTGATGGCGTGTGATCAGTATGTGGTGGTGTGCAACCCTCTGCTCTTCACCGTTGTCATGTCCCAGAAGCTCTGTGTATCACTAGTGGCAGGGCCCTATACATGGGATATAATCTCTTCCCTGACACTTACCTATTTCCTCTTGTCATTATCCTTTTGTGGGTCTAACATCATCAAAAATTTTGTCTGTGAGCACTCCGTCATCGTCTCTGTCTCCTGCTCTGACGCCTCCATCAGTCAAGTGCTTTGTTTTGTCATTGCAATATTCAATGAGGTGAGCAGCTTGGGAGTCATCCTCACTACCTATATTTTCATCTTTATTGCTGTTATAAAGATGCCTTCTGCTGTTGGGCGCCAAAAAGCTTTCTCTACCTGTGCTTCCCACCTGACTGCCATCACCATTTTCCACGGAACTGTCCTGTTCCTTTATTGTGAACCCAACTCTAAAAACTTTTGGCTCGTAGTCAAAGTAGGTTCTGTGCTGTATACAGTCATCATCCCCATGTTGAACCCTTTAATCTATAGCCTCAGGAACAAAGGCCTGAAAGAGAGTGTTAGAAACTTAATGAATCACTCAACACAATTTTGTTAAAGACTTACGTTCCAAAAATAAATTCCATGTATATATTGAAGCTTGTTCAATGCTTTCAGTAAAGAAAAATTCAAATTATTTAATAGATTCACCCATCAGATTTTAAAATCTATTTTAAGAAGCCAGTTATTTGATCATTTGATTTTTATTCACGCCTGTTTTTTTAGCAAAAATATAACAAGTTGTATGGGTTGAAAGTTGTCTTCCAAGCTATTTAAGTTCACCCAGAACCTCAGAAGTAATATTGTTTGGAAATAGGATCTTTGTCAATATAATAAGCTTAAGTGGATTAAAGTGGGACCTAAATCCAAGAACATCTAATGAAGATGTTCTTTTAAGAGACAATGAAGGACAACAGGAAGACACACAGGGAGGAAGGTCATGTGAAAATGGAGGGAGATGGTGCTTTTCTGCTACAAGCCAGGGAGCAAGGGAGGATTCTCCTCCACTGCATTCGGAGGCAGTATAGTCCTGCTAGCACCTTGATTCAGACTTCTGTCTAGAGAACTCTAAGAAAGTAATTTTACTTGTTTTAAACTCCCAGTTATTGGTAATTTTTTGTGGCAGCCTTAAGGAATTTATATAAGTAAATATCAGATCATAAAACCTAAATCTCTTGTTTTATGTTTTGCCATGGTATGTAGTTTTTTTAAAAAACATTCTTCAATTCTAGTTTAGCAATGAGAATGTCAGGGTTACAGAGGAAATCTTAAAAGCTGAATAGGAGTGTGCGTTTTTAAGAATAAGTAATGACAAACTGGGACATGGTCTCTAAGATCCTACGAAATTCTTTGTTCGTTTCTCCCGAACCTCCTCCTGTGCTTTCACAGGCAGTGATGAGAAACATAACTCTGAATATCAAGTAAAAATCTTGATTTTATGTGAAGTTCCTGAAAGATTACCAAGAAGATGAAAATTTTTAAAAATGTTAATCTCACAATTCTCACAAATTTGTGCGTTAAACTTGATTCTATAAATTCTATTTACTGAGTTATGATAAATTTTAGAAATAAGTATATAATCTATATTTTGCTTTTTAAGACAAAATATTATCTCTGTTTATCTCTTGCTAATCATGGTTTGTGTTATACAAGTTTCCCCAGGATATGGACTGTGTGAGCCTGGTATTATTGCTTCATATCACCTTAGTGATTAAATAGCAGTTGTTAACCCAGAGTTACTGTGTTCACATCAAACCGCTTTCAACTTCATCTTATACGATAAAGTATACCACCAAATGTAAAATAAACCTTTTTATTCTTAATTTTTCTTAGCTGTGCACCATGAATCACAGATAACTTTACCATAATTCTAAGCAATTACTCATTTATTGTATAACACAGTTTCCAGATAAAGAGATCCAAAGTTTGTTCACTGTGGGGAATAAAATGAAAATTTTCAGTTTTAATTTCACCTTGGATTGTGTGGTTTTCTTGGTGTGTGTCTACAATTTTGTGCTATTAAAGGATGCAAAACATTACCCTCTCTCTTTCAACACATATATGACAAATTAAGCATTATCAGTAATTATCCTTCATAATAAATGTTTATTACATACTTACTGCTATATTGTCTTGTATATGGAGAAAGGATAAATTGTCTTTGATCTTTAGTTTATGAACAGAAAAAAGAAGAAGGCAATAAAGAACAATACAAAAAACTGAGTAAAATTAAATGTTTATATATGTATTTTTAATTCATTATGATAGCTTTCTAGATCACTAGACTTTCCATTATATCAAGGGTAATCAAAGTTAGTGATTTTCAAACCTTCACACACATGCAAATCACCTGAGAGGGTTGTTTATAAATGTCCATTCTGGTGCAGATTCTGGATTTCTAGCAAACTTTCAAGTGATGCAGGTATTACTGGTCCTTGGATCCTCTCTGAATATCAAGGCTCTAAGGAAACATTTTATATATATGTATGTACATATATATGGACACTTTTTCTTTATATATATCCTATATACATGGACATATATATTTATATATAAATATAAAAATAATTTATATATATTTATATATATAAATATAAAAATAATTTATATATATAAATATAAAAATAATTTATATATATAAATATAAAAATAATTTATATATATTTATATATATAAATATAAAAATAATTTATATATATTTATATATATAAATATAAAAATAATTTATATATATAAATATAAAAATAATTTATATATATTTATATATATAAATATAAAAATAATTTATATATAAATATAAAAATAATTTATATATATAAATATTAAATAATTTATATATATAAATATATATATATGTTTTCTTAGATCTTCGATATTCAGAGAGGATCCAAGGGCCAGTAACATCAGCATACATATATATATATATATATGCCTTGTTAATCCCCATGCTGAACTCACAGACTTGTAGCATGAGGTACAAAAATGTGAATGAATCGCTGCAGATGTTAATATACTTCAAAATATTTTAGCATTAAAAGAAATTTTAATAAGAATATTTCTATGAAAGTGTATATGTTTCTATTCATATAGCACCTTCTCACAGAATCCTTCCTTGACAACCTAATATAATGTGACAGTTACCCCTGTCCTCTTAACCTAATTAATGTTCTTTCATAGCTGCAGGTGATATTTTAAATTCATGGAATAATTTGTTATTTCTTTCTCTCAGTAAAGATAAGCTCCAAGATGGCTAAAGGTTCTGTTTTTATTTTTTCTTGTATTTCCAATGCTTAGAAAAGTACATTAAAAATTCAGCCTTCAATGAATACATACTGGATGAGGTATAGATGGAAAGAAAGAAAAATTTCAGACTAAGTTGATAATATTTAGCTCCCATTTCATATTTTAAAAGCCAAAGAACAGGTGTAATATAATCAAAGATGACCATCCTTCTTTATATCAATGCTTGTGCTGCTAATTATTGTATTGTATTGTACTAACATTTCTTTTTCTGATTTTAAGTATTCAGTTAAAGCTGGACACTCCATAATTTTTTGACTGTTTTATATTTGTCAGCACTACAAAAACAGTACTTCCATTATTAACAATATGTCTCATCATTAGGTTTGGGATTAGTTTTTAAAAACTGTTAAGTTCAATTTGGAAACCTTTCCCTTCAAATTTAATTTAGATTTCAGAAAACTTGAAACGTTTCTTCGATATTGTAATTAGCAGTTCGGAAAATTTTGGTTTATTTGGATAACCTAATCTCAGAAATCCAAACATTAGCGTTATGGATATAATTATTAACAATATCTCTGGATTAGACAGATTCTCGTTCATCGTGATGGAAAAAAGTTTAGTGCAGCTTGGATTAAGTTTAAGTTTCAGAATACTGGTGGATAATTTTGTATACATCAGCAAAATTGTTTTTGGACATGGATCTATTAATAATTTTTGTTTATTGGAAATATTAAAATAATACAATGCTACCAGCATTTCTAAAGTATAATGCCTCAATTTTTTTAGGGTTCAGTAATAATTTTGCAAAATTCACAAGCAAAGGGATCAAAGATATGTAAAAACTTTGCAAAACATTAGTGGAAATATCTCTCTAAGCAATGTATTCTTGCCTTCCATATTAATGATTCCATAAAGAATTCTTATAAGAACTGGCTTCTCTTAAGGCTATAAAGAAAACTATTTTTAGGATATCAGAGTAGGCTAACATTTTGAATATGTAGAAAGCAAAACAAATGGCACTACATTAAAATTAAAATGTATGCCATTAGCACATGGAAAAGAGAAATCTGAGCATGAGAAAAATTTTGGAATACATTGAACTGACAAAATATTAATATCCATAATATAAAGATAACTATAAAAATTAATTAGAAAAATAAAGTAAATAAAATCGTGCTAAAATTTGAAAAAGAGAAAACTATTTTCAGTTTATTCTTATATATTATACAATAATGTTTTCTGTGTAACCTATGACATGAAACATTGTGCCAAATAACTGGTCTGAAGAAGCTCAAGCACATTCACATCAGAAGAGATGTTCAACAATGTTCAGTTTCATATTGCTTATAATAACCAAAAGATGGAAACAGCCTAAATAGACATAAAATAAGCGAGTAAGATGAGTTACCGCCAAGCAGTCTAACTCCACGAGTAGAGAAAGCAACTCTTAATGGTTCCATTGCACAAGATTCCGCTATGCACAGAATGACTTACTGCTTTTCTTTAAAATCCATGTAATTCATTACAAAGGCCTACCCAAAGTCCTGAACAGCTCTACCTGATAAATATGCTTCAAGGATAATAATACTGCTGCGCCATACGGGACAAATAGCACATCACTTTGCTTGCTTAATGAGTTTGTTACAAGTTTTCTCTTGTGGGATCCACTTCAAATGGATAAACATTTGGGTCATTTTGTAAGCAAGTTGGAGTAACTTGGCCAAAATCCAAGAGGCACACTAAATTTTGGAATACATGAGGCAGTACTTAAAGTGTTATTCTAATTTTAATTATATGTAAGCAAAGCCTGATAGTTAATTTCATGCTGCATTTTTTTGTGTGTGCGTAATTTCAAAAAAATTCCAGTCACTAAATATGACATCAGAGACTTGGCATTTGCCTTAATTGCCTGTTTTGATGCTTGGGAAGAGTAAGTTGTTAGTGATTCTCCAGAGTTTGAGTCCCTGGGCAATAAAGTTAAATGTAAGAGTCTTGGTGCCTCAGGTATACTCAGGCTGCAGAGACAGGAGGGTGGCAGCCTGATTCTTTGTATGTAGTAGGTAAGTTTATCTGGGTTTTCTATGAAACTGAAAGTAGTGTCTTTCTTATATGGTAACTGGGGCCTTTGATTTTTTAAATGTTAAATCACTGTGTTATTCAATTCTGATCCCAATATCATTAAAAAATGAGGTCAACATTAATGAGAATATTTGTTCTCATATCCATTGACAATTATCTCATGATGAATAGTATAAACTTGCTACTAAGAAATGGATATTTATCCATATTTCCTTTATATTCATATTAAATTAGTAT